ATAGCTAAATTTGATGATGGTGGCAGCTAATTTTAAAGGTTTATGGATATCACAAAACAAAGGTGAAATTTTTAAGTTAACGGATTTTGTAAAGAAATGTGAAGAAGCAGTAATAAATGAAGATGATATAAAAGAAATTTGTCATTGTGATATCAATGCTTCTCAATCATCATTCAATTAATGTATGGAGAAATCTTTAGCATGGTTCTAGATGCAGAAAATACCTCTACTGATAGTGAAGAAATTGACAGAGAAGTTACTGAAACAAGAAAATTTTGATTGACAAGTTAGTCAGAATTCTCGAAACAGCAGTTACAGGACTTAACAATGTAACTGAACAAAAGATTATGTCTGTCTACAGAATTAAAGAGAAAGTATTAGAACAAAAAGCAAAACAACTTACATTGAAAGAAATGTTTAATAATCTAAACCAATAAACATGAAGATTTTTTTTTTTTTTTTGGTAAATTTTGATACCCTTTAGATCATAAATACTTCATTATTTCATATTTTTAATTTTATAATTTCTACATGCCATCTTACTAGATTTAAACTCACGATCTAATATCCGGAACCCAAATCCGGAATCACCGAAGTCCCGAAGAGCCCGGATTTCGGATTTTGTACTGTATATGGTCTACCACTATCCTAAACTGCTGAAATTCCCATATGAGGGATCATAATCTGTAGTCGAACAGGTGAAAATATGTTTAGAAATCGAAAGCCATCTAGGGCGAGGGACGAATATGTTAACACATACCATAAAACAGGAAAAAATATACACTGATTATATCCTTTTTGTTACTTTCATTTTAACAAACATTTCCCAAATGTTTGTTAAAATGAAAAACAGAAAAAAAAAATAAGTATAAATATTTGGTACGTTTTGCCAGCGCAAATCTCGCCAAGCAGACTTTATTGGTGACAATATACTGCATACAAGTATACACATTAAAATTGTTAACAAATGTTAAATCTAAGAATTTTTTATTTTGAAGGCATACACATTTTAATATCATTTAAAATTTTGTAAAAAGCCAATAAATTTGTAAAAAGACATTAATTTAAGAATTTACTATGCTTTTATGTTTCAACATCCTGATTCGCGGGTTCATATAACGTGACCCCAAGTGATCTCATCTTACGTAAACTACGCTACAAAAATTTAATTCTCTCAGTAATTATTTACATTAATTTCAAGTTAGATCTTAATTTGGAGTACAAGTTTAAATGCAAGAATTATTTCAATACGTATGAATAGCTTAGCCAAAAATTATGTAAAACCACAGTGCTGTACTTCACTAGTGCATTCTCATTAGAACTGATGAATTTTAACTCTTGATTTTGCCTTCAGGTAAGCAATGTGATTGCATCCTAGTTGACTTAATTACCGTGAATTGCTTTAGGGCACAAAATTGAACTATCTGGTATAAATTCTATGTAATTGTATGCCAGTATTGAAAGAAACAATCAATCTGATGAGAAATGGCTACAACTTGATGTGAAGAATATTCTCGCTGTAAAAGGTTACCAGCGAGAATATTTTGTTTGGCATCAGTTGTACCATTATTGGAGACTTTATTGCCTGCGCCGGCAAAACGGTAAAGTACCAAATATTTTATCATTTAATATGTCTTTCTTGACACAAAAAAATGACATATTTTGACTTTTATATGTTTTGGCACTCATGTAATAACTGGCATCTGCGGATATGCAGTTAACAATCTATCACTGCTCTTTTATGAAAAAATACATTTTCTACATTGGCAAATCAATTAAATAAGTTTCATGAATTCTGACAAATATTAATGGGAAATCAAATTCAAAATTACATCAAAGAGATTGTTAATGCTGTACAATTTGTCTCTGCCTGCTTACGACTTCTACTAAATAAGATAGCAAGTGATTTCTTTAGAACCAGTTCACAGTATTTTGTTGCATTTTGTTGGCTGCTGTAGGCATGGAGGTAGGAAGTAAGAGGAGAGGCCCTAACCAGTTTTTTCAATACACTGCTTTGAAGCACTGGCAATTTCTTCATGGAGACTAAAACATTCAATGACATACAAATATGATCAATGGACTTCGACACGATCAGATGTAAACATTTTGTAATTATGTCATCAATATACATATAAATGTGCAGATTTTCTTTTTCTACAATATTTCAGAGTCCTAAGTATGTGAAAAGAATACATTTTTAAACAACATTTCATTCTGAACGGAATTAGATGCTATACTTTTCACAGAACAGTTTGCTCAGAACAGCTTAATTTGAATGAAATATTTTCACAAGTTTTTGCTAATTACATTAAAAAAAAATTTGTAAGGTAAGTCAATTTTATTCGGTTAAGGATTACAAAAATCAGGATCAAAGTTTACTGTATTATTAATATTCAAACTGTGGATTATTTCTTTTCTATTTATAGAGCTTCTTCCTAAAATACTTTTTCAAATATGACATGGTTTTTTAGCTTCTGAGGCATCTTTTAAATCGAAAATCTGAGTTAGTTTATAATTAATGTCCATTCAGACCATTTCAAATTAGAGCACCTTTTATTTTAATAGTGAAATACGTTAAATATTGGTGCTGATTTCCATGTTCTTAACTTTCTCTGAACATTTCTGAAAGGGAATAAAAAAAGGATTTTTATTTTATGTATTATTTAAAACTTGTAACTGAGTTATAAAATGTAAGGGAATAATTCTTTTAATACTTATCAGATTTCTTTTACCCTTAATTTCAACAATACATATTCTAAAACTCTTCTTTCCTACTTCCTTAAGTACGCATCTCGTAGAATTTGCTTTACAATACCTTTTAACAGATTGCTTTCCAGTACGAAAAATTCTTGCTTAAATAGTTTTAAAAATATATTTGTCAACAGAATTTCAATTTATGTTTACAATTAAATGTTAAGATTATTACATATTTAGATATTTACAAACATTATAAATTTAGATATATTTTATAACTAGCTTTCTTCACAGTAATTTTAAGAGGAGTCTATAAGTCAATAATCCTTTATCGCGAAATACATTTATAAATAATTTAATAAATACTTATGTATTTTGTTAAAGGCAGATACATGCTTTTTGCAAGCCTATGCATAAATACCCATTCAAATGTCATATTTTTCATTTTCAGTGTGTACAAATCTTTAATTTCTGTGCATTCACTATGTTTTTCGAATAAAGTAATTTACAATAACTTAGCATATACCAGAAATTTTTACATAAGTATAAATATAATTTGAATGAAAATTACATTAATTATTTTTAATACCCACTCAAAGGTCAGTTTTTCTTCGAAATTCCTCCACGATGGCATTTCTCCCTTTAGGCAGACTCTATTCAATAAAAACTTAACTTGGCCTATGTGCCTAATTACAAATATTTTAACATGCATAATTTGATATTTACATTTAGCCATAAGTTTCAAACTTTTGACTTAAAATACATTTTAAGATACATTCATTATCAAATTTAAATCTAGTAACTATATTTTAGCAGAGCACTTGATACCTCTTTTAGCAATTTTACCCAGTTTAATAATCTGATAATATAAAGTAATAACTACCCATTTCACATTTAAAAATTAACCTCATTGTCATTAGGTCGCAATCCATCACAACGAATGTTTCTTTTTTGCGCAAGTGTCCCGTTCTTCGATTCGCATGGAACTGTCATATGTCGAAATACTATCAAAGCTGTCAAGTGAGCTTCTGGATGTAAACAAAAAACACCCTATCTGGAAGAGCAAGGCGTGGGAGCAGTGCTTCACTCATAGTGTGGGGTTTGCCTCTCCTTTCATTCTTACCTTCATGACTGCCAAATATTTTTGGTTAGAAACTTTACATTTTTGCTATCCAAATTTCTTGTTTTTGTTTTGGATTTTTAGCTTAAATTGTGTGTTTAAAACATGGTTTTTGCATGTGCGAAAACCACCTTTTTTGAGATATTTTAAGCTTAAAGTTCGAAATGTAGACAAAAAATTTAAATAGTAATATGGCACCGTGGAGTTTTACCTTTTTTAACACAAACGCGTTACTGTATTTAGCCTCAGGCAATTTTCGCTTAGCAAGGGTTTCTCCTCTATATCAGGCTCAAGAGGGAAATTTTGCAAAACGTCTTTTGACGTCATTTCCCTCTTGGCGTCAAAAAAATCCTTCAGAGGATTTGGCGATTTTCGCCGATTCAAGATAGCGGAAAAAAACTAAGTGCTGGTTATCTGAATCTTTCCGCGAGAAATTTGTCGCCAAGTGAGGGTGTATATAAGAGTAGTTCCAAGCAATTTAATATAAAACTGTATTTTTATTTTATTTATTTATTTTTTAAATGTTCCAAGGTAAAAAGGATTTTTAAAATGGTGGGTTCCCAGCAATTGTGAGGAGAAGCAATAGATCAATAACATTTCTAATGCAGAAAATACCAATTAAAAATGAAACAAATATAAATTAAAATTTGCATTTAGTTTCTTACCTTATTTGCAGACTTATAAATAATTTTAACATATTACGAAAATGCAAAGTAAAAAATTTCAATATTGTCTCTAGTATACATCCTGCACCAAGCAAATTTCCCTATGTAAGAGCCAAATAAGTGTGAAACTTGCTGATGAAAATGGTTTATACTCTACAAAATTTTGCCATTCTGTCAAACCAAGCATTTATACTTTGAAGCTATATGTTATTCATTCCTATGACATTTTAAAGCATTTCTCAAACTTTGATTTTTCAGATGACTAAAAAAGACCTTAAATTCAGTTAACCATTCATACTGAATTTCTAAATTCTATGATAAACATAAAGATTCATATTATTATACTTTTCTGGCTAAGAAATACAGCTCCAAAGGATTTTTATGTATAACAACAATTTATCAAATGGCAGCATAAACTAAATACATATATAAATATTCAGCTATTTCTTTAAAAATCATTCTGCATTTATTTCATCCAATAGCAAAAGAAACAGATGATTTTAATTCACAAGAATGCATACTTGCTTAACAGGCATGAAGATAGAGGAACTGAACCATAACGAAGTAATCAGCCATAATGATGTGACATAAATAAACAGCAGCCACATTTGACATTTTACTGCCATCTTGGTAGTACATTACTCAAAGCCTGCTCTGACCAACAATTCCCATGATCTATTTATATCCTTGACTTTGAAAAGACCATAATAAAAAGAACATAGGATAGGAATAATACTGATAGCAGGTCAGCCTGGGACTGAATTTTGACAGAAGTAGTTTATATATATATATAAAGGGCATATATTCAGAATTTCAAAGTGTCATCTACTGGATATAACTACAATTAAAAATAATTTACATCATAAAATGTCTTAAAAAAATTGTTATTTTATTTATTAACTGCATTTTGTACATTGTAAATTTATAGAAATGTATATGTATATTAAATTTTCATTGGCTTTTGGACCTCTTTGTATTTTAAGGAAACTATTTCAAATCATCTCTTAAAAAGTGTAAAGTTTTTTTCAAAGTCAAAACCCATTTAAAATGTTAATTTTGTCTAATTTTAAAACTGAGCTTCTATTAGAGTAAGCTACTAAAATTTTGGGTTCTTGAAAATTCTTTATTGATATTTAATTATTCAAATTAAAATGTATATGCATATATTTATGTAGAAAATAGCCATCTTATAATACAATTTGTTTATGGCTATTTTTATATTTTTTGTTTAGCAACTTCAACGTGTATTGTAAGAAAAAGGCTATTCACAAAGAATATAGGAACATAAAAATGCACAGCGTATAGTGAAAGAAATCAGAAAATATCGCGTAAGCTAGATTAGTTTTAAAAAAATTATACCTATATTTATATTATATGCTTAACTAAGCATTGAAGAAGGCTTAGATAAAATTGCATTTCACTTAAAGTGATTTTCGTTAAGGACAAAAAATGCTCTGTATAGGAGATCTAATGTACATCAGATCATGGAAAACATACCGATGGTAACTGAGAATCTACTTACAGATCAACCAGCAAAGGAAAGATTGATCTCATACGAAGTTAAAACAATTATAGGTAGTACTATTCTTTAATATGCTAGAGTTTTTGTGTATATCATTACCAAATTTTTTAAGTACTTCAGAAAACCAAATGTCATTATAAATACAGACATTAGCCATATGTCTTGTTTTGCAGCTGCAAAGTCGTTGTACCCGCCGAGGGAAATACAGACAAATTGCAACAACAGCAAACAATGCAAACGACAGTCAGAAACTTTCCAGCTGACGGAAAAATTTCCGACGCGTCGATCTCTGTAATGATCGAGACGTTGGCACCAGCCTCGCTCTCTGTCGAGTAGATCCCAAAAAACGACCCGTTCTTCTATCTTGACGGTGTCCAGACTAGGGCCCCAAGAGTGCACTTTTTTGTGTCTGTCATTAGTTTAAACCTTGAGCACATTATTGGTGACATTATATGTGCCCAGCTCTGTCTCACTTTGAAACAGTGACGGGGAAATAGAGCCAAAAATCACCTATCCCTCTTCCATTCATACTAACTCTTGAGGACATTTTGTTCCATGCTATTTAAAGTGTACCCACGCCACAAAGTAAAGAGAGATTTAAATGCCACCAACCTGTACCCCTTTCATTCTCATTCTAAACTTTTCAAAATAAATAAAGATTTAGCATATGATTACAGAACATCAGAACAAAAATATATGTGGTACTCAAAATCATTCTGGGTAAAGTTAAGAATCACCCACTGCTTGGCGCATTTTTAAGAATTACACATACTCAGTATCCATGTACACATCAACTTATTTTCACTTAAAAATTCAAAGAAAATTGACAAAAATCCAATTCTTCTTGCTCTTGTAAAAAGCGACAAACACATAAGTGGGCTATTCTGCACTTTACCCGGTTTTTTTTTTTTTTTTTTTTTTTTTTTTTTTTTTTTTTGTTCATTCTATAAAAATCTCTCTTATGTGACCAATCATTTGAAAGAAAAAATGAAATTATATCTGAGCAATGGCAAGTTTTGTATTTTTAGTAGAAAACCCACTCAATCCCTAAATATTTAGGATTAATAAATATTTTTAATCCTAAATATTTAGGGAACTATATATAGTACTTGGAAATTTATTATTCCTAAATTAAATGACTATAATAACTAAATCCTTATCACATATATCCTTTATGTTGTAGCCTTGGCTACTAATGTTCAAAATTAATTTATGACTAGGAACATCATAAATTATAAACAAATAGCTAAGTTATTGCATTTTATTTTTCGGCTATCGAAATGCGACACTACGAGCAACGTTTTGAAACCAAAACCTCGCAATCATGAATCAGAACTAGAACTAGTTGCCATTCAGCATAAAAAAATTTAAATATAAATATGAACTACTTATTGCCATTCAGCATAAAAGAAATATAAATATGAATATTAACAAAATATTAAAGTTAATTTTATAAAATAATTAAACACATGAACAAATATATGAAATAAAAAAATAATTATTTCTCATGCAATAACTGGGCCACTACAATGGCACTTCCCTTTTACAGAAGTATAAATTTACTCTCAGAAAGAACTAAGGGTTATACAAGAAAGCATGGATTTTCACTTTTCTAGAATAAAAAAATGAAATTATTATTTAATATTTTTTAATGTAATGACTGCAAAAATGTACGCCTTAATTTTAAGAAAGTATACTGATCTAACACAGTTTTTTCAAAATGCTTTGATCATGTATGAAAACAAAATTTTGTTTATTGAATACATTAATTTTAATTTTTTATGCCAACCATAACACGCTAAATATAGTTTCCGTATAAGTGATTTTAAACCAATCACAGCTCAGAAATACGTTGGAGTTCCTACATTTAACGATGTGTCCTTGGAAGTTGTGTAGTGGCCCAGTTATTGCATGAGAAATAATTATTTTTTATTTCATATATTTATTCATGTGTTTAATTATTTTATAAAATTAACTTTAATATTTTGTTAATATTCATATTTATATTTCTTTTATGCTGAATGGCAATAAGTAGTTCATATTTATATTTAAATTTCTTTATGTTGAATGGCAACTAGTTCTAGTTCTGATTCATGATTGCTAGGTTTTGGTTTCAAAATGTTGCTCGTGGCGTCGCATTTCGATAGCTGGAAAATAAAATGCAATAACTTAGCTATTTGTTTATAATTCATGCTGTTTCTAGTCATAAATTAATTTTAAACATTAGTAGCCAAGGCTACAGATGTTTACGTTGCTGCTTTATGTATGCATGAAATATGCATGAAAGGAAATTAAGTCAGTGTTGTGTGGCTGTGGGCTGTAGCATGAAAACTAAAACTAATTTATTATCTAAAATAAAAAGAAATCCATCACGTAGGCGCCTGTGGGAAGTTGCCATTCGTAGAGAAAACTGGACTGGGTATAATTCATCTGCTCTTTGGAGTACTCCTTTTATTATGGGTAGTTAATATTTATAAGCATTTTATATCATACTAATGGATATGTAAACATAAACCATAAAGATCTTTAACAAAAATAATGAAGAATAAGCTGTTTCTCCCTTTTTTGGCGTCAAGGCTGTTCTCCGAAGAATGCGACGATTTTCGCCTGTTGAGATTATATTATCATCGGATGAGGATAAGGTTCGGAGATCCCTAAAACAAGGCGAGAACACATCAGCAAAAATAAGTAAGTAAATAAATTACAGAGTTTTTTTTATTTTAATATCAATTAATTTTTTGAAAAAAATAAGCATTTTATTTATTCATTAAGTTAATGGTCATAATTTTTTATATGTGTACTATTTTATCAATTTGAGGTACACTGTATTAATATATGCTTTTAATTTAAATAGATAGGAAATATTAAAGGAGCAAAAACTACAAATCTATACATTCATCGAAGCCCAAATCGTGTTTTTTCCCTCTCGAGAAATTCCTCAAAGGGGCCCCAATGGGTAGCGCTAACAGACTACACTACTGATAAGGGCTACTGATAAGAATAGCGTCTCTACGAGATGGTAATCAAAAAACAAAAAAAACAAAAAAAAAAAAAAAAAAAGGGAACCACATGATTTAAGGCAATTATTAAGTATTTAATGCCAGAACATAATAAAATGAGCATAATAATAATGATCATAATAAATAAATGAATTTAAAGGTACTTTAGTGACAGATATTTGATTTAGCTTAGAGAAAAGAAGTTCTACTTATCTGAATGTTCCGTCTTGGTGTTGTTAAAGATTGCAAGGAAGATAATACCTTTAGGCACAGGAGAAGTTTCGGTTTTGAGAACGAGACAATGTAGAGGATATTCGCGAAAATTTTTCTTAAATAAAGGAATATTTTTTGAAAAACATCTTTGAAAATTTAGGAGCTCTTCTAAGATCCTGCCTCCATCGTACGTGATCACAGCCAACACCGACTCTACTACAAGCCAGACGGCGGTTTTGTTACGTCACAAGTTGTGGTCATCGGGGATTTGATGCGTCGTCCGTTGTAACGAACGAAGCGTGTTTGTTGCTATCGCTATTTTACAGTGTTCTTTTGTTGACATATTTGTTGGTCGATTCCGACTTAATTTTGACAAATATGGGTGGATGTGTTGCATCAAATTGTTCCAATCATTCAAAAAATAAGTTTAGGACGTTTCGCCAAAAATGAAGAAAGACGAAGAAAATGGATAATTAATTCTCGTCAAAATCAATGGATTCCGGTCTCAAAAGCATGTTTTTGAGGTAAGTTCAGCTTCGAATTTTCTCATAGAATGTTAGAATAAATTACTCTTCGTATTTCTTTAAAACGTGCATTTTCGTTTAACTATCATTTATTAATGATCAAATGATTTTATAAATACAAAATAAACTGCGGAATGTGTGTGTGTTTGTGCAGTAAATTATAGCCGATACTGTTTGTGATGTTTCTTTTATTATCGTGAATAGTTTATGCTGTTTGTAAAATTGTACACTACATTTCATGTAAATTTTGTGCTTGGTTAGAAATGTGATATGACTTTCCGTGTTTCAATTTTACTCTACGATTGGTAATTTAAAGTCGCATGCTATATTTTGATGTATTGTCACCAAACCTGTTGGTTTGCACCTTTGTTAAAAATTGGATACATAGTTATGATCTAAATTATAAATTATTTAGGTTTTTCGTTATATTAAGATAAATAAATTGTGTATTTTTCTAGGCATTTTGAAGAAGTATTAATTTAAATATTCTATGCATCATTTTGATCCTATTATCATGCTTTTATGTTATAGTAAACCTTCATGTTGTATTTCTAACTATAGTTACTTTAAATTTATTTTCAATGTGTGAACAGGAAATATGTTTTAATTAGCAGTATTAATTAATTAATTTTGCAAATTTAGGGGGGATTTAAAAGTCCTGAAATTTTTAAATTATGCTTTCTATGTGAAAAAATAATTCAAAATTTTCAAGACAAAATAATATGTGGAAATATAACTATGGATGAAGAATTTATAAATATGCAAAATCAGATGAGGTAAATATTCCCTCCTGTTACAATATCAAAACAAAGATCATAAAATGTTTGACTGCACGTGGAATTTTTTTTTTTTTTTTTTTCAAGAAGCTTATTCAAAATAAAAAGCAGCATGAGGAAAGTTTTGAAGCTCCTGCTTTTAAAAGGAAGAAACTAAATTAGAATCTGAATCGACAGTTTAAGAAGTTTTTACTGTTCAGTTCTGTCTGTGAAAAAGTACATTAGTTATTGCTGAAAAATTGTTGCTTATCTCTTAGAACAATAGTTATACCCACGAGTAGCTGAATGGTTAAGGTTACTGAATGCTAAGAGTACATTTTCTGTTCTTTTTCTGAACATGCTGTCTGCATGGTTGGTTTTTGTTTGTTTAGTTTTTTTTTACGTATAATGTGAATACAAGCCAGTTCTCATTAGAAAGTCCTTCACCATGAGCAGGTAGCACTTTTGAGCTTTGTGATAGTCAACTAACCAAACTGTTATGAATATTAGATAATAAGCTTAACATTGGTGAAGATCTTTCTCGTAAATTTGACATGGAATATCTCTTGGTCTGCTAAATCAAATTTACTTTTGTGTGACCTTAAATCAGAGGCACCAATCGTGAATCTGTTTTGGCGTGTTTTAAGAATTATAAATGAAAAATTTATTGCTACTGTGGAAGAATGCTCAACTAATGTTTACCTTACTAATCAATTCTTATAGTATTGTAATGGCTTGCTCTGTTGCAAATTTTTTCGCTAACCAGAAACTTTCAGTACTGCATTTCCTTTAATTGTGTTTTTGTTTATGCCCTTTCAGTTATAATTCTTATAATCATAGGGATAATGAAAGTATTTATATTTAATTACTTTATATTTAAGAAATAATTAAGTTTTTTTATTTATGGTAATATTTTGCACAGATTATAAAGTAAACATTTCACAAAAGAGAGCATATATTTTCGGGAATATTGTTTAAAGTAAAAATGATATCAGTTTTTAAACATTATATATATATATATTAAGAAAATAAAATCAGGCTCTAGTGTAGAATTGGGTGCCCCTTTGATTAGCGACATTTTTTTTTTTTTTTTTTATTTTGGCAATGAAACCTCGCTTCAGGTTACCATGATAGTTTTAACTTTGTTTTAGCTTCCTTATTTAAATGAAAATAGATTGATGTGTACATGGACAAATTTAAGGCAGTGCGCAATGCCTAGTTTGTGCAATTCTAGGATGCTTTTTTAAGTGAAAACATATCGATGTGTACATGGACACAGAGTTCGTGCAATTCTTTTTTTTCCTTTTACTTATTACATGCTCCGCCTTTAGGCACTACAGGAAAAGGAGGAATGCCCCGTGGAGGTCTTGCTAAAATCCTAGTATACGGTGCAGCCTTGGTGCAATTTTGAAAATTATCGCCAACATCAAAATGACCTGTTTAACTACTCATCGTATATGTCCCGTTTACTGCTCATCATAAAGTGGGCAAAAGTAGCCAAATCCCTTGTGCACCAGATACTAGGATTAAACTTTTAAAATCCTAGTATACGGTGCAGCCTTGGTGCGATTTTGAAACTTATCGCCAACACCAAAAATGACCCAAAGAACGTCTATGTATATACTATAGTATATGCTATGTATAACTATATATATTCTTTGAATGACGCGTTTACTACTCATCATATATGTCCCGTTTTTACTGCTCATCATAAAGTCGCCAAATCCTGTGTGCACCGGATACTAGGATTAAACCGAGGTCTTTTTAAGGTAAACTGGCTCATATCCAAGTTACACATGGGGAAAGCCACGAAAACGCCCATTTGCCGGGATTCGAACCCTGGACCGAACTACCAGTGTTCAGCGGCTTTTACCGCTTGCCCACTGGTGGGCTTGTGCGATTCTTTGACTTCTTATTTTGGTTTTGTATAGCGGCCATTTTGAAATTGTGCCTTCCTGACGCCAATCTCGGTGTCAAAAAAGGAATCGCCAAAATACAAGGGACACCCAATTGTAAACTTTTACCTAAAATCACTACTCATCATGACACCAAATTTTTTAAAATGAATTTAGATCAGTAAAATATTCAAGACTATGCAAATTGTAAACAAAAACCAATGCACGTATAAAGAATTCTTTATTTGATTGCAGTCTTAATGTGACATGTCAGAACACTTTTCATATTTCACATTTTATTTATTCATTAAAAATTATTATGCATTCAAGTTTGTTTTCATTTTAAACTTAGTTTTGAAAAGGCATAATAAATTATTTTCCAGAATATAATATCTGTTGTAATGTCCATAGATGGATTTATATTAAAATATAAAATTTTATTTGTTAGAAAATAATACAAATTTTCATAAATTCAACTGCTAAAGAAAAATACACAACAGTACATTTATAACAAATTTTATTACAGCATCTTTACACATATCATTATAACTGAAATCCGACACAATTTATTCTGTGTTGACACAAAAGAAATACAATGCAAGAATATAAAACTCGATCATTATAAGAAATGAACATTCGTAATATGAATCATTTATTATCTTCATAATAAATGGTTTTCTCTCCTTTTAATGCAATATTCAGATATAGAATCCGGTACTGTTCTGTTATGGGGAATTTATTTATTATTTTTTGCTAAACTCTCCAAGAGACTGGGTGATATGAAGATGCCAATGTTTACTTCTAAAGTCGTTATAATGTTAACTTTTTTAAGAAAATGTAAAAGAATGACTTTTCAAAATTGGCAATGAGAATACACATTCCAAAGATGTAATGGTCACTTGTATTTCAATCAAAGCCTTCAACACAAGTTTCCATATTCTATTATAAAATATCTGGTTTCAAAAGTAAACTCGCCAGCAGAATTGAAGTTCTAAATGAAGTACGCCAATGTGTTAACTTCATATAAAGTTAATTTTAATTTTTAAGTTTTAAAGAAAATTAAAAGAAATTTTCAAATGTAAAAAAAATCTTTTCATGAAATTCAGAATGGTCAAACTGTGCAAATTTCAATCAATGTCACAGTTTTCAATCACAATTTTTCCCATAGTTTTCTATTATAAAAAATGGTTTCAATGATAAATGTAAATGAATAATATCAATAGAATAATATGACATAATGACAATACACCAATGGCATTTTAGGGGAAAAAAAAAAAAAGTTTGCTTATTATCAATAATTAAATTTACAGTTATATGAAATAAAATAAACATACCCATTACATGCATCACAAGGTAAGGTAATTTGTTTAAGAAATATTTTTCCATTCTTATGATACTCAGTTTCATAATATCCACAATTATCTGGGACATTTTTTTACTTCTTCAGCACATAAAGCTCTTGCAATAATCAAAGATCTTTCCATCTATTTTATAATACTGACGATTTGTTACACAAGACACCACACTGATAAGCACAAATGTATATTACCAAATGAAGAGTTTTTGTTGAAAATAAGGAGGATGAATTATTCCAATACTTATATTTGGAATTAAATCATGCACACAATCAAGTTCTAGATATTCCTTTGTTAATCATTTTCTTTATCATTCAGGACTGATCGATATTCTTGAACAGAGTGGTGTGACAATGGATATTGCACATATTTTTTTAGTCCACAAAGCACCAATTCTTAACTTCAATAAACTAAGATATATCCTATGCATTTTTACACCTGAGAGCCATTTCATGATAAAAACACTCCTTTCTTCGTTATGAATACCTGAAAACAAAGAAAGAAAAAAAACAGAACAAATTTATTTTTTAGTCTTTAAAATCATATATCATATAACTATTATACAGGTGAAATGTTATAAAGACCTATGTATGTAACTTTGTAAAGACTTATAAATTAATATCATAATATATTTATAGAGCTTGGGTCAAAATTATTATTATGAAATATAATTATTGCTGTATGTCTCTTTTTCTTTTTAATAAACAACAAGGTGTTAGCCGAGGTTTCCAAGCCTCGTTACCAAAGTGTACGTGGTAGAGCCTTATCATGTCAGGAAAAGTGCAATGACAGAAAAGGATACCGGACGTCCCTTGCAGTCACACTTCATCATTCTTTATTTAATTATTTCAATAACTTTTCAAACTTTTAGTCTGTTTGCTTATTTTTCATGTTCCAAAACGAAAAGTCCCTAGGCCATTTCCAAGTCGTTTTCCAGTAGAAGCAGTCCGGCTAATTCTATCTTTGGATTTCTTAACAGTGAGATTTTTTATGGGGTGGGGTAGTTAGCCCCACACCCAACCCCCAACCTGGAGGACCAGTTCCCTGATATAATCCCCAGGGGCAGGGTGCCCGGCTATACCCCCAGACGCTGGGTACCCATTTTAGTCGCCTTTTACGACATGTATGAGCTACATTGGGACTATTCTTTCACACCCGGTCACCACACGGGTATATTAGTAGATTGATTTGTGCTTATTCACTGTGAATAATGTGAAGAGCAAATATTACTTGAGCTGAACATGTAGTACTATCCAGAAAGAGTCCATACAATTATTGCATAAATAGAAATATTAGAGTTAGATTGTGCAGAAAGAAGACATTATGGAATTTCTTTTTTCTACACTACTACACTATGCCATGTAATATGTTTTTTACACTACTACACTATGACTACACTATGCCATGTAATTGCAGGATACAAAATCTTAAATAATGATGAACATTTTAAGAAACACAATTGAAATACAAAATAGAAACTTTGGGAACTTGAGAAGTAACTGAGTATAAAGAAAATTTTTATAATATAAAATCTTCAGTAATACCAAAAACTTGGTTAAATAACTAAATAAGCAAAGAATAATATCTACAAGTCCAGAATAAATTATGATATTTAGCATTTAAATGTATAATAAATATGCTTCTTAAATCTCAGCTGCTCAGCAACGATGACACGTAGATATTTAGCAAAGGCGCTTGTAAATACAATATAGAAATTTCAGGACCTTGAGAAGTAACTTAGTATAAAAGCAAATTAAAAATTATATAAAATCTTGAGTAATATTAAAAACTTGGTTAAATAAGCAAAGAATAATATATACAAGTCCAAAATAAATTTTGGCATAAAGCAATTTAAATGTATAACAAACATGCTTCTTAAATCTCAGCTGCTCACCAAAGATGACACGTAGATATTTAGCAAAGATGCAGTTTGAGAGAACTTTAAAAATTACTTTTAAAGACAGCATCAATGTTACTTTGCAAGTGTCTGAAGTTTTCTTTTTTTTTCTTTATTGGACTTAATATCGTCATTTTTCCTATTGCAAAGATTCTTGAGCATGATATTTGTTGATATCCAAATTATCAGTTTGCTTATACTTTCACTTGTATGACCATTATCACAAATAATATCATCAAAGAGCATTTCTTTTAATTCTAAAATTTTAAAAGTCAAATTTGCAACAATTTTCCTCTGATTTTGTTCCAACAAAAAATCTTCATATTCTTCACTACATTTACTTAGTATACAATTATTTACAATTAAATTTATAAATTTACAATTTAAAAACTGCATGACAACAGACTTTCACTGGCAGATGGCTACTAATGCCCTTCACATCACTCTCCGTAATATTTAATGATGGGTAATATACTGTATTATCTAATTCTATAATATCATGAAGATTATCATCATATTCAAATGATGTTAAAGGGACAGTAGTATTTTTAATAATCAATTCTAACTTAATACTTGATTGTATTCTTAATTTTTTTTCACATTCTAATAACTGTCTCATTGAAATATGATACTGAGAACCAGAAAGTTGTCTGTATTTACCAAACCGGGCTTCAAGAGCATCAGTCTGAATTTTTCCTGGAAGTATATATTTCATTCCAAGCTCTTCAACACAATATCTAGTCAACTCCAGTATACCATAAGTAGTTTGTTTGAGAGCTGCATGAGTTTCTTTTGTAAGCATGCCTGTTGAACATTTCATCGATTCCCATATGTCTAACCAGTTAACAAACTGATTGAGAAAAATAACTTTTGGATCAGAATCATCTGCTGTTAATTGATTCATAAATTCACTCTTTTGCTGTATGCCTTTAAATATAGTTTTAACATTCATAATATCCCACCATTTGCATTATGGTAATAAACTTGGATGTATCTGAATAGTGTGCTATTTCATGCAGTGGCCTTGAATGGTAAATTTATTGCAAATCTTAACTAGTTTATGTTTTGTTTCTCTAGCTAACTAAGGCGTCTGATCCTTCCATACTCTCTTTGCTTCAGATTTGAATATGGGCATTTCATTCAATGTTTAGATTCTTTTGTTTTTAATAATGCATAGCAATTAAATTTCTAGGCACTTAGGAGAAAATTACATAAAAGGTCCTCTATATATTTGCAGTTCAAATTAATAGCTTCTTTCCTTCCACAATGGCCCGACAGCCCAGGGTGGGAAATGGCTTTCTCAAGAAGCTTTTTCGAGGCCAATCTTCTCCGAGCTTTCGGTTTTTAAGACCAGTAGCTCATTTTCTAGGCAGTCGAACCATCTTAGATTTGGTCTGCCTTTTTTCCTTGTGCACTGGTCTGGCACTGAAGACTTTTGTTTGTTGTATGATCTTCATCCATTCTGATAACATGGCCCACCCATATTAATTGTTTGCCATTTAATAAAATTAATGATGTCAAGTTCTTTAAATGAGTGATATAGCTCCAAATGTAAACTTCTAAGCCACAGACCATCTTTTTATATTGCTTCAAAAATACTTCTTAAAACTTTCCTTTAAAAAATGTCTAACATGTCCTTGTTCGTGTATGTCATGGTCCAAGTTTCATATGCATATCCCAAAAATTGGTCTTGTACAGGAAAACTTGTTTTTCTTTGAATTACACTTGATTTCATATGTTTTCGTATTCCATTGAAGCATCTAATGGTTGCAGTCATTTTTTTTTTTTTTAATTTTATTTCTGTAGTAATATTGCTCCTGTTGTTAATTTCAGAGCTTAAATATGTGAAATTGTTAGCAGTTATACGCTCCAGTTTCTAAGTGAGTGTCCTTGAAGTCTGTTTTAGTGCATGGCATATATTTTATTTATTTTCATCAATTCTGAGAGCTTCCTTCTCTAGAGATAAGAAAAGCCTGTATTACAGTTGCTGGTGCTCTAGCAGCAATGTCACTGTCACCAACAAAAGCCAATAACTGTACCAGTTTATGAAAGATGTTTCCTGTCATATTGATGTTTGGAGGTAAATAGCTTAATAGACATTATTTTAGGAACTATTCACGAAATTTTCTGTCCAATGGCTTATGATATTGGTACTACTTTGGTAGACGGTAGCACGGATTTTGGGAAAATTTCGCAGATGCGAAGGAGAGGGGATAGAGAAGGAATGAAGAGATCCTAAAGTATAAATAATTCACTGACAAAAAAATAAAAAGTGATTTTTTATTATCTTACTACAATATGATTATTTATTATTCATTATTGCAGTTCTAAATCTTAAGAATGACTTAAATGAACAATTACTAATACATCCATTTCTTTAAAAGTACTAATACTTCAGCAGTGGCGTAGCAAGCATAACTGGCGCCCGGGGCAAAAAAATCTTTTTGGCGCCCCCTCCCACAAAAAACTTTCAGTAATATAATGTATAGTGGATATATTCGTAATAAGAAAATAATGCAAAAATAATAAATGTTGAATGTGCCATAAAATACTCTAAAATATATTAAGAATAGTCCACTACCTAACTGCACTAGCATTGGATTCGAAAATGCATCTGTGTCGCGGAAAAAATCAGACAACGATGATCTAGAGTTAGTTAAAAAGGTATTATTTATTTTACATAAGTGTTTTTAAAAAGTACAATTTTTAAACAAAAGTTTTAATATACATTATAGATAAATAAATATGTGGCAACTTGCCTACTACAACTGAACGTCTGCCAGTCTGGTACCCTTAGCAACCAAAAACCAAAATAATAATTTCTCTATTCAATTGTTATTAATTATTAACAATCTGTCTCAAAACATTGTACTACCATAATTGACCCGTATTTTATTACGAATAGCAACCTTCAATGTTGCCCGAATATGGAGTTTATATGTCAAAATTCTGAGCAGCAGTAAGTTATCCAGTGTGATGAGATGCAAGTAAGACATTTTATATGTGATTTCAAGCGTTGTGCCGCATTCCGGTGAGTCACCATATTTCTGTGATAATTTCAGCGGATATATGTATCGTCTGCTGCATTTGAGCCGCCAATTTCTCTGATTTCAAGTACCATGAAACTGTGTCACTATATACATATTGATTATTTTTCTATACATATTATTATTGTGAATATTTGATTGATATAAAGTGGTTGAAAATGATGCTGCTTCACAATTGGCGCGAGTGGCTGTTAAGCCACCGTCTTTTTGTCGCCGAGACCCATTGTTATGGTTCAATCAAATGGATGCGCAGTTTAAATTGAGTCGCATTACTGCCGACGAAACTCAATTTTATACAGCGATCGTCGCGTTAGAATCAGAGGTACTGCAATCAACTCGTGAAATAATTTTGAATCCACCAGCGACGGACAAATAAAAATCTTTTTAAAAAAATTAATTTCTGTTTATGAAGAATCCGAGACAGTTAAAATCAAGCAGCTGTTGCACGATTTATAGTGTACTGGGTGATCAATGAGGACCTTCTCAATTGTTACTGTCTAAAATGTCAGACTTAGCCGCCGGTAACCTAACGGATAACATTCTTTAAAACATTATGGATGAATAGACTCCCATCTAACATGCAAACCATTTTAGCGGCCAGTAGCGAGCCACTTAAAAGTCTTCCCGAAATCCGCTGATAAAATTCACGAGCTGGCCATTTCCAGCGCAAATACACGCAGTGCAAGGTTCCTGGTCCAGGTATTGTTGGCGTTACAGGCTTCAAATTGATGATTTGTCCAAACAGGATTGCTCAGTTAGTAGCCATCCAAGCTCAAAATTTTTAGCGCAACCGCTCCACATCACGTGGTTGAAATACACGTCATAACCCACTGAGGAAACGTTATGAAAGCTCTCCTCCGGGTATTTGTTTTTACCACCACAAATTTGGAAATAAAGGCAAACAAACGCCGCCTACCGTGTTGTTATAACGACCAGGCAAACGAGAAGGGCCGTTGCTCAAAGTCGTAAACGACAGCGGCCGGAATTTTGCACGCCTTTTCGTCATCGAGAAGAATTCGGGCTTAAGGTTTCTTGTAGACACCGGGGCTGATGTTTCCGTCGTTTCACCACATTTTCACGAACAAAAGCGCCTTACCAAGTTACAGCTTTATGTAGCAAAGGGAACTCCTATACAAACTTTTGGTGAACGCCTGATATCTGTTGATTTAGGATTGCGCCGCAACTTCCAATGGCCATTCATTATTGCTACTGTTTCAAGTCCTATTATTGGCGCTGAATTTTTACAAAAGTTTTCTTTGCTTATCGATCTTAAGAATCGCCGTTTGATAGATTCCACAACCAACTTAACTTATCCGGGAGTAATTCTCAATAGTCAAGATTTGAGCATTAAACTGATTTCGAGTAACTCCTCATGGCATCAACTTCTCAGAGAATTCCCTACAATCCACGCCCCCAGTATTTCCGAACCCAAGCACGATGACTACATTATATTGAAACTGCCGGAACCTCCAATTGCCGCTAAACCAAGACGCTTACCTCCGGACATAGCTTAAAGCCTGCCAAAAGGAATTTCAATTCATGATGGAACAGGGAATTTGCCGTCCTTCAAAAAGTTCATGGGCCAGTCCGCTCCATCTAGTTCGGAAACGCAATGGTAAGTGGCGATTATCGCCGGTTAAATGCAGCTACAATTCCTGATCATTAGCCAGTCCCGCACATTCAAGACTGTATGCAAGTTTTAGAGGGAAAAGCTATTTTTACAACCCTTGATCTTGAGCGGGCGTATCGCCAAGTGCCCGTTAACCCAGCTGATATTCCAAAAACTGCGGTTATTACGCCTTTTGGACTATTTGAGTTTTCGGTCATGACTTATGCAACGCTGCTCAAACGTTCCAACGCTTCATGAATCAGGTGTTAAACGGCCTCGACTTTTGTGTACCTTATTTTGATGACGTCTTAATCGCCTCCTCTTCAGAGCAAGAGCACCTATCACATTTGAGAACAGTTTTTGAACGTTTTCACAGGTACAGTGTCAGTCTTAATCCTTCCAAATGCGTTTTTGGCCAACCAAGAGTATCCTTTCTTGATCATGAAATTTCCGCTGATGGCGTTCGACCCCTTACAGATAGAGTCACCGCTATCCGCGGTATGCCCGAACCATCTACAGTGAAGGACTTAAAAAGATTTCTTGCTGTGCTCAATTTTTATCGACGTTTCTTATCTCATGCAGCAACCATACAAGCACCTCTAAGTTCTTTTTTTTAGTTGGAAGTAAGAAAAACGATAAACCTGTTATAACCTGGACCACAGAATCTCGCGA